TAAATTTTCACTTCTTTCATTAAAAAAAAACACTTCAAAAACAATTGTTTTTCTTATAAGTATCGAATATTAATCCAAAAAGAAATTTAAATATCCATTGAAAGATTTTCTTTTCTTCTATGCTGAACATGCCAACAATTTAAGTACTCTTTAAAAAAACAAATCTCATTACTTACCATTCAGATTTCATATGTGTTTCATCAATAGCTCGAATAACATGATCAATACTAGCATCATCATCATGATCTTTTTTGACCAATTGAAGTAAATGACGCATTGGTACATCATAAAGCATTTTAGATGTAGCATCAAGTAGAACAAATGAAAGTGGACCGTCGTCATTAATACCGCCTAGTACAGCTCCTCCTCCTCCCATATAAGGTGTTGTTAGACTTGATCGTCGATAATGGCCTGTCATTGTCGATTTCGATTCACCATAATGTTGATCAAATACAGTTTGTTTTATACGAAGATTTGGTAAAACACGTCGTGTCCAAATATTATTGCCAGCAATGAGCATTGTTGGAATCGAACGTGCTTGAATTTCCGTTACATTGGCTCTGTTAACAACAAGATTAACTTCTTGATGTGGTAGTAAAATTTTACATAAATTATTTGTGTTATTATTATTGTTGTTGAATACAGGTGGTGCAGGCGGTGGAGGAGGAGGAGGCGGTAATCCAAGGAAACCATCAGAAGGCGACTGGCTTGATGTCATTTCTATTTGAAAAAGATACAAAGAAAAAAGTAATATTCATTATTTATTGTATTAAAAAAATTAACCATTTGTAAAAATATCATCAGTTGGTGAACCGTATTGAATCGTTGTCGTCGTCGGAGTAGTCAACATCAGACTTCACCGTCACTCTCTCTCACTCAACACAAAATATGATCTTTTATTGTCTAAAATATAGACAAATATATCAAATAATATTCTCAATTTTTAATTAAAGCTTTAAATATAAACCAAATAATGTAAATAAATAATATTAAAATGAATTTCTACTTATAATATGTTTCTTTTGTTGACTTAGAATTTTTTCATTGCACTTCATTAAAATCAATACTGATTATTATTTATCGTCGTGTTATTTAAATAGATGATAGAGATGTAAAGTGAGACTGGTCAATGATTCACCGAGTATTTATATGTATATATATCGATCAAGATAAACAAAGATCATATTCTTGTACTTAAGTTCGATTAACAGAGAAAATAACGAATAGGATAGATAGATAGATAGATAGATAAATCCATGAACTACATACATAATAATAAATAGGACTGGATAGAAGTCGTCCATTCGATGAATGGAAAAAAAAACGATGAAGAAAAGAAAAGTTGAAAGTAAAAGCATTAAACAAAAAACAGCTTATATCCAAGTATTATTCTTCAGAATTTGATTTAAATCGATATAAACTGTATATATATCGTGACTAAGAGGATTCAAAAGTTAATCGAAGTGTTTACATTAAAAACAACGACTAAATTAATGCATCGAGATCTGGGTTGTTTCATACTGATTCTGTCCTTATATATATATATGTGTATGTGTCTCTGTGTGTGTCTAGGTCCACTCATACCTCTTTAGGTGTGTCAGACATCGTTCTATTTTTATTCTCTTTGTCTATTCATACCATTTTTTTTTATTGTTTTTCATCTCTAATGCTCATTCATTTTCATTCTCTCTATGCCAATACTTACCTGGCACTCCATTCGAAAATGTTACATGCAGACAGTTTGATGATCTAATGTCATCAGATGATAGACAGGCAGCCAGTCATAACATTAAATTGAACTGATAATAAAGTGCGGAGTGCACCGCATCGTGCGTCTGCCATTTGTTTGTATCGATATATATATATACGTATATAACCACAAACATCTATATGTAATTATCTGACGTCTCTCACTCTCTCTATCTACATCTTCTTCTATTGTTCAATTGTAATGATGCTCGCAAAAGCGATAAACTACATACATAAAAAAAAAGAAACTTCGCGATGGCTCTTCAATAAAAAAAAAAGAAAAATAACCTGTTGTTCAAAACTGTGTAATATATATGCGTACATGAACAGTGCAGTCGCTATTAATAAGAAAAAAGGACAGTGAAAGAGAAAGTGAGATGACATTGTACCTACCGGATACTTATCTGTGATGTTCGTATAAAAGTGTATACTCAATGAACAGAGACGAAATGAATATATATACAATCAAAAGAAGATCAATTATCAGTTATTACTGATCTTCAATATATTCAAGGCTTTATTCATCTTCTCTCAGGACAATCGATATGAATACTATAAAAAAGAAAAGAACACAGGAAAAAGTGAAAAAATGAAACGGCACGACCCTGAGTTTGTCTATGTCAACTTACACATGACAAATTCATTAAAATGATTGAAATAGTACTCTATGGCTTCTGAATACGAAAGGAGAATAACATATAAAAAAAAAGAAAAAGCACGTCGAGATACGATCCGTTCTCACTATAATACATACATATTTACATGGAATACAACAAATTAATAAATAGACCAACTAATTTATTTACTCTCGATCAAGGTTAATTTCTTTTCCTTTTATTGAACTGAGATATATATACATACATACGTACATACATACATTCTTCCATTTTTACATATCTATCTAGTCAATATAAACTTCAAATTATTTAGCATAATAAATGCAAAAGAACAAAGAAAAGATCCATTCAATGAGGAATCAATTTCAAAAGCAATCTTTTTTGTCTTTTCATCTAAAGACATTTACTCACATACACATATATATACATATATATATATATTATATGCACACGCTGTCTGAGGACACAATCAAAAAATGAACTGTCTCAATTACCATTTCAAGTAAAATCGAATAGTAAATTCTTATGATCTAACAAAGCCTTAAGACATACTCATATATAGAGTGTGAGCTACATCTGCATGTAAATAAGCCTTATTTTTCTTCTTCATCTTTTTCTTCTAACTTACATCCTAAGTCTCTCGTTCTCTCTCTCTCTTGTGCTCTCGATTTCGACACTCCCAATATTCGTATTGACGCAATGTATATGTTTGCTAGCCAATACACGCAATTCTCCATCGTTTCTCTTTGCCTTTCAATATATAGTTGTGATGGCGAGGGTGACACATTGAACGTCGTCATCGATGATCATGTACAATTGATTGTTCGATGCTTAATTGTATTGCGCTATATGACGACCACTACCATCGCCTTGCGGTCTTCATAGTTTTTCTTTTTTTTCTTTTTTGAACAGTACACGCAAGAAGCTATATAAGTTGATGATCGATCGTTTGTGATGGGAAGATATGGGAAGAAGGAGGAGAAAAGAACTGATTTTCATATTCGTCATAGATGCTTTCTTTTGACAGTAACATTCAATCGTTTAAATATTCATTCACACACAAACACACTTTTGATGTCCATCTTAAAAAGAAAAAGGTATACGCATATACATAACAGGAAAAAAAAGAAAATGAAAACCATCTGCGTGTGTGTGTGTGTTGGGTCACCTTCGAGGTTCATATATATAAAATCAAGAGGAGATAAAGTTTGACGTAATCATAAAGAATTAGAGTATATATATATTTAAATATATATACATCAAACTTCATTGAAAGTAGTATTTGATATTATGAACAAAAGAAATCCTAACTTGATGATCTAAGATGACATTTATTCTCCTTACTACTAGAGTTTTATCTACTTACATATTATATTCACCTTCAAACATCTATATGTGCGAAACTCTCACTATGATGACTAGTTTGATAATCCATTCATAGGCTAGAAGATTTAAAAAGAATACATTGATGATATGTATATAACTGCACTAGCTCATATAAGATGCACATTTACCACTGATTAATATGAACAAAATATATAAGGTGAGGGACAATTACATCGTTTTTCTTTCTTATATAGTGAGTAACCTTTCTGCGAGCCATCACAAAAACGAAAGAAGACTATTGAATGCATCGCACAAGAGTATTCATCTACTTACCTGTTCTATACGTGTTATGTTATATACATTTACTAAGGACCATTATCACCATCATCAAAGGAAAAAGACAAGCACGTCTTTTTTCGTTTTTTTATTCGTATATCTTCGACTAGTTCCCATTAGAATATTTACTTAAATATCAATACAAGAAAGCTTACCATTTAACTAAAGACATCAATTATGATGATACTAACACATTGTAATAATGATATGATGTAATAAACAAAAAAAAAAAAGAAGATGACCGCTAGTTGTCCTTTTTAACTTTCTTTTTCTTTCTTTTTTTATCGCTTGGATGGACGCATATATCCATCCCATGATCAATTTGACCCTCAAGGTTCAAAACTACTTACATAGTCATTAGTTCACAAAGACAAAAAAAAAGGAAGAAGAATAGGATCTTACACCAAAGTCTTATTCAATAAAAAAGAAAATGAGAAATTGGTTGATCAATTTTTTTTTCTTGGTCTTCTTTGATTGTCATACCATGTATATCAAATGTTTGCGATCGATCAACAATTAAGTATATTGAAATTTTACAGGCAAGGACAAGCAAAGTCTCATCTTACGCATGCTACGAAAAAAAAAGAAAAGCATGACGATGAAATAAACTTTAAATCTTGTCTCAAAAGACTTCCTACTATTTCATTAAGTTTCTTTTTTACAGTTCAAAAAATAATGTACGTGTTTTGTTATTTCAAGTGTTTTTTCTTCTAAGATCACAGACAACATTGAAAAGTTGTATTTGATTATTCGATTTTTATTCATTGTATTTAAAGATAAATCAAGAAAAAAAAGAACAAAAAAGATTACTTTTATATATATTTGTTTGTTTGTTACGATGAAAACAAAAAAATTACAAAGAAATGACATACATATATATATATATATGGAACATACAACTAAGATGTTTGAACATCCATTAGAGAACCAAACAAAAGAAAAAAGGAAAGATTAAATTGTTCTTTAGTTTCATCAAATAAAAACTTGTCCAAGATTTAATTCAGCACTAAATGGACCAATAATATAAACAGTTGAAAAATATAATATAAGACCAAATGTGATCGATATTGGTAAAGCTGGTAATGCTTTACGAATAATAGCTAATAAAAGTAATGTTAAACATAAACCCTAAAAAAAAGAACACATAAAGGTAAATTATGTAATCAAAAATTTTAGACTAACAATTAATAATGAAACATAACATGCTATTGTGACATTCCAATCACCGAGTGCTGATGCTTTTGCTAATAAAATTGAATAGAATATAAAATCACCTAAGCCAAGTTTAACGCCTTCTAAAAAATTTCCACAACAAAAAAAAAAAAAACTAAAACAAAATATTTAAATAGAATAATTTTTACTCTCATCATCATCATCATCGAGTACAGGGGAATTTGATCGTTCAACAACATATCGAGCTGATTCACGTCGTGTGTCTGTTTGTGGTACATCAGATCGAGGGATAAGTTGTCGTCGAGCATTGTTATTTCTTATTTCAGCACGTTGATTTCTTTGTTCATCAGTTAATGTTGCATCAACATTAACTAAAATAAAACTTTTTGAGAAAAGAAAAAAGAATAGTTCATAGTTTACCAGCCGTATTTGTATTAGTATTATTATCGGGTGCAAATTGAGGTTCACCAGGTGGATCAACTGCTGTAACCATATAAACCATTGTAGCTAAAATTAAAAAAAAAATATTAAGCAAAAAAAGAAAGCTTATAAACAAATCTACATGAATAAATTAATGCTGGAAATATGGGTTCACCACGTTCATGTGCTGTTTCAACTAAAATACGTAATGGACCTTTTGGACATAGAACAGCAATAAGATCTAAAAAACATTGATAAAATTAAGTTTGTTTTTTTCTTAGAAATAAATTTTCATTTTTCTATTTACCCCATATTGATATAACACCAAGAATAAGCCAACCTGTCCAATCAGGTAAAAATTTATAGAAAACAAGTGCCAAAAGAGCCGACATTAGAATTAAATAAGCTTGTTGAACACGTAAAGGACCTTTCCAATGAATACAAAACATACCAACAACACCTATATTCCATGTTATAAAACATATTGTTATCATATCAATAGGTCGATTTAATGATGCTGATATACTACTGCAAAAATAAATCGATAATTTTAGTATTTTCTATTCATATTTTAATCATTCAAACCTGAAGTATGAATATAGAAAAAAGAAGAGTAACATCAATGTTGTTAAAATTAACCATCCATGAATAATCTAAACATATAAACAATACAAAACTTTAACTTGTCTATTAACTTCCAACTCTGTTTTTAGAAAGTTATTAAATATTCGTTTAATTTGTTTTTATTAAGAAAAGACATCATCATCCTATGAGAACCCACATCCTCATACTACAATGCTTGTTAAAAATATAAGACCAATATTTTTTGATTTCTTATTGTATGATACCAAGCATTTGACTCAAACTCAATTAATCATATTGAAATTTACTGGATGAACTATGCGAAGAAGGCTTCCGAAAACGAAATAGGTAGTTTTAAGTTTCCAGAAGACTGTAAAAATTAGTTTTTAAGAAAATCATCTTAAAGAGCATAAAATCCTGAATAAATAAGGGTTTACTGCATTTCTTTCAAAAGTTATAAGCATGTTTTTTTTGTGATGCTAATAACTTTTACAGGAAAAGTCATAAGATATACTAACTCCGTTATTTTATTCAGATTTTTTTGTTTTCTTTACGATGGCATTCGTAAAAAATTAATTTCTACATAGTTTTCTGTGACTTGATAACAAACTATTGTGGTTTTTTCAGAAATCTGCTTCTCTTAGACCACCCATGACACTTGGGTATGACATTCTTTTGTTGGAAAACTTCATAGACAATTCAAATCATTTTTAGAATTTGAATTAAATGCTTGATATTGTATAAAAAAAATTAATTGATCCTATATTTTTTGATCACTATTGTAAAACATCTTTTATTGTAGTATATCCAATGCCATTAATTATAATCTTTTCCAATGCTTAGAAATCTTTGTTGATTTATACAAGAAAAAGTATTCAATATTCAACAATACCTTATAACATTTAAATTTATACAGTACAATCAAAATAACAGTAGCTGTAATAACAAAGCCCATAAAAATAAATGTATTTGCCAATGAAAATAATATTCTCTGCGTATTCGTTGGTTTATCTTCTGTAAACGGTGTATAACTAAAAGAATAAAAATCATATTAGATATTTATTATATTTCACGTTTTCTTACGCCCATGTTGCACCACCCGGAGTGTATGAACCTTAGAAAAAAAAAAATAAAATCCAAAATTTATCTTTTTGTTTTTCTTAATCTATTAATTAACTCACTTGTTGTTTTTATTGTTATAATAACAATAAGCATACAAATTGATACAGGTACAAATAATTTCACAACATGACTTGCGCCTATAAAATAAAATAAGTAATCTTTGTTCTTTGAAATTCATAAAACACAAACCATATTTAAAAATTTCTTCATGTTCAATATTTAATGGCCGTTGTTCATCAGATTGTCCATCTCGTCGATGTCTACGAGTTGGTTCATGATCTTGTGGATCAATGGCTTCAACTCTTGAATGTGAACATGCAGATGCAGCAGCATTAGACGAAATGTTTTCCGCGTTTGTTGATGTCTACACAATAAATAGAAATTTTATATTTTGAAAGAAAACTTTCACAATAAATTTATTCTAAAGTCTAAAAATAAAATGTCTATATCTAACCTGAATAATTGCTACATCAGGCAAATTAGTAACATTTGGCCTCTGATGAGTAAATAAATTTGTTAGTAAAAAAAAAAAAAAAAAAAACAATCATTTTCGTTTTTTTGTTGATTAGCTTTAATTTTAATACCTCAGGACCATCGATAATTGTATCGTCAGCTTGAGATTTCAACAATTCGGTCATTTCGTCAGGTGAATCTTGGCTATCGTCGATCAAACGACGCATGAGACCATGATGGGACAAAAAAAAAACTAAGAAATGAAAGGAATCATAATGTTTGTTCTCATTTCTTTTTTTCTATTGGTTATTTTTATTAAATAAATTCAAATACAACTAGCGACATGATAAAAACAAAAAAAAAATTAAGATATAGATACATAGATAAAGGAAACTTGTGCAAAAATCTCAACCAATGAAAAAGAAAAGTAAACAAACTTTTATATTTGTTTTCTAAATATGGTTCACTCGATTCGAGCGGAGCTGCGGCACCAGCCACCCTCAAGATAGTTTGAGTTCTCTCAATCAACTTTTTTCTTCATTTCACATGATTGTTTTTTTGACTGTACACAACAAGTTTTCAATCATGAAGTATGAAAGTTGAACAATAGCCAAATCTTTCAGCGATTTATCGCTATAGAATTGGTTAATTTTATATAAAAATAACTTTGTACGGATAACTCCCTCGACGAGTATTCTCCCGTATATCTTTCATTAATATGTCTTATCTCTACTATTAATTAGAGATTTATTTTATTTCTTTGATCTACCTATGTGGATAGAAATTAAAGAGATAAAAAAGTGAGACATGGAAAGATAATTTAATTATTAAAACTCCGCCTAGTCTGACGTAGCGTCGAGATTTCTTCTTTTAATCTCGGTTTTCGCTGTTGGACTATGGAGTGAAAAATTAAATGGGAGAAACGATAATATCGCGAAAAATAAAAGCGCAATATATGACGACAATCAATAAGATTATTTGATTGATATAACGGCATAGAAAGCGCGACAAATTTGGAATATAATATTAATTGATAATAAATCAACATGAGTTAATCTACAGTATAATATAAATGACAGAAAATAAAGGTTAAGTTTTTATCAATATTTAATTAAATATCTAGAGAATAAACAATAATAATTGTTTTCATATTCGATTTTTGTTTTGAAAAAACTAATAAAATATATCCTTAAATCTGATGAGATATGTAAAATGTAGCAATTCGAATGAAATAAATAGTTATCCTTCGATTATCAATGCATTTCGAAATCAACTTATGAATTCGGCACACGATGAAAAATAAATCGATATCAAACTCGGATAATTCTTAATTAGGTTCTTATTTGTCGGTTCATTAATACAAGCAAAAATGAGTAAGAGACATGAGAGAAGAGTGTAGGTGGATTCATCTATTATTCATCCACATCTTATTTGAGCTGATTCGATTTTGATAACGCTATGAGACACAGATTTTGTTTATACATTTGACAGTGTAGTGAAAGCCGAATTAGTTCAATATCTATTGATTGTATTCTGTAGTTGTAAAACAAAGCATAACAGACATGCGACAAACAAAACAATTAAATTGATGTTTGCATTGTAGAATAGCTTGTGATTTTAAATTGAAAATAGTCATAGCATAAGATGAGAGTATTATACAATCTCAACTTTAATTGTTATTCTCATTGATGTTGATTTAAAGATTAATTAGAATCCAATTTCGGAACAATCAAAATGGGACAGCCTATCCTAATTGTCAATGAGAGAAAAAATTATATTTATGAGAGAACGTTTTCAACTGATCAATCACTTTTGAGTTTCGCTCTGTACATAAGGTGGAATCTAGTGACATATGGAAAACCCCACAAGGATAAATGCTCTTAGGCCTTCTGTACAGAGTTATAAACATTTTATTGGAAGTTTAGTCTATGGTATCATATATATCAACAAATTGAATAACAGTATTTTTGCCAGCAATTTTGTCTACAAACAGATCTAAAGTAGAATGCTCTGAAAATTTTAGATCAAAAGCAGAGGTGCAGAATCTTCCTCATGCGCCCCCGCGCCGGGGGGGGGGGGGATTTTTTGAAAAACTCAAATAATAGGGGAATTTTGGAAAAACCCGCTGGCCAAAAAAAATACAGTGGGAAAATTTTTCAAAAAACTTTTTTGCGTGGGAGGAAATTGTTGGATTTTTGGAAGATTCTGCACCTCTGGTCAAAAGAATATTTCATTTTCGAGATATTAACGTCTCAAACTCACTCATATCACACGAACGATGCTAGAATATTCTGTTGAGCTGAAATTTTCAAGGCATTCTACTCACAACTAGACCTATTTGTAGGCAAAATCGTGCACTAAAAACCCATCATTCAATTTGTTGATATACATTATGTCATAGGCTAAAATTGTAGTAAAATATCAATAACTCTGGATAGAACACCTCAGAACTTTTATTCCTATGAAGTTTTTCATGTCTCACTGGAGTCTGCTTTATGTAGAGTGTCAGAATTGAAAAGTGATAGATCAGTAGAAAACGATTCCTTGTCAGTGAACTACATTTGAAGTATTTTGCTCATTGTTTTTTTTTCTATCACCAAGTAATAATGTGAGTACATTTTCTCTTTATTAATAATGTTTTTGATATCTTATTATAAAGTGATATTTGCATTCATTCGAACATGATTTATTGATGGTTCGTTATTGAAGAAAACTCATTCACAAAAGTTTTATGAATTTTTTTACATATCAATTGATATCTTTTTATTTTTGAATAAAATTTAATTTAACAAAAACTACATTTATATTCATCAAGAATAGAATGTATTCGAATTTTTGATTGTCAATTGATCAATGAATATAAACTAACATTATTTTAAAAGGATTTATCTCTCAAATTTCTTCAATCGTGTTGATATATAACACGACGATTGAGATTCTTAATTGATCAAATAAGAACTGATCTTGTTACATATAAAAAAAATCTTCAGTAACATTTTTTTAGATATCGTTTTTTTTTTGTTTATATATCATCGAACTCATTATCATCGTCCTTTGACGTGTTTACATATGTCCTAAGGTTATTTACTTAAAATATACTAATAACTAACATTATTAACGATAGATGTTGTTAATTAATCATATGCATAACTTCAATAGAAAACAACAGAACAACTTCTATATTCTTCATATTTAATTATGTATTGTAACATGTAGCAAAAGAAAGATGAATAATAAGTAGTCCTTGGATCCAATTGAATCCAAAAATTTTCTTTTAATTGAAACTAATCTGACAGGTATTATGAAAATGAACACGATTATAATTTGATACCGTATACGATCACTATCAAGATTGATTGAGAAATTTGTAGGATGTGCTAGTCATCAAATATAAATAATCGAAAAAAGTATCTTGTATCGTCAGAGTGACTATCAAGTTCGAATTAAAACATTTTTTTATTAAGTCTTATATTCACGTCCAAAAATTTTATACCTAACAAGCTTTACTAATGAGACGCTTGGAAAGAAAACACTGAGAATCTTTGTACATATATATCATAGATCAGATATGTTTAAATATGAAGAGAAGAAAAAAAAATAATGTTTACTAAAAACAAACGACTAACTGTAACAAATCTTATGGATAGTGTATCAATCGATGTATTATATTCTACTCTTGTATTGATTTAGAACAGAAGCCTACATTCCCAGGAGATTCAATCCGACCTGTAGATTCGATCGAAAACGATAGGATCCGCCTCGGATTTCATCGGAATCCGACACCTGTCATAAAAAACCGATCGGATCCGTCAAGGTTTTTGTCGGATTCCCATCAGCCGGATTCCGGTCCGGATTTCATCGGAATTCGACGGAACACGATGAAGTCCGGGCCGGATCAGGTCGGATTTTATCACGTTCCGTCGAATTCCGATGAAATCCGGACCGGAATCCGACAAATATAGGACCGGATCCGATCGAAATTATTTCGAACTGGCGAGATCCGACTGGGGTCGTTTGACCTGGGTTGAGTTGTATCAATATTACTTGAATGTTGTCTATTACAATATCTGAATATTCCAATGCGGATATTATTAATTAAAAATATCAAACTTAGCAACATTGTTTTTGCGTAATATAGTCAGAATCAGTTTTACTGAATTTTCCATCTGACCTTCTTGTAAACCAAATATAAACTTAAACAACGAGATCAGTTCGGATACTTCACTTGTTAGAATAAATTCTAATGAATGTTTCCATATGATAGTCTATGTTTTCTGTTGATTATTTTGCAATTATATCTTAGTTATCAAGGTTTTAAGGTATACTTTCGATGTAATACTGTTAAAAAATCTCCACAAGTAAAATATTAGTGTATAATTCATGATTAGTAATTGATTTTGTATTCATAGAAATTCTTTCGATATTTGAAAAACCTATTATTCATTTATTTTTGATGTATCTTCTTAAGGAAATTAACCATCTTGGTGATTACAAAAAATGTTTAGCTGTTAGGAATTTTTGAAATTCAACAAATAAAAATTAAGATTCAGTGTATGATAGCTTAATATAAACTGTATTTGTAAACTTGAAATTTATTATTTGCAACTTAACAGTATTTCTCATGGCCAAGATTCATTTATAAAAAATAGAATAGATTGTCTATTAGTTACAATACTAAATGTTTAGATAATAAGGAAATCAGCAGAATGAACTCTGTCTTTCCTATTTCATAAAATTTGTATCAGAAACATTTCTTAAAATTCTGTTTTGTCTTAAATCGAGCAGAACGTTTTTTTAAAGGCATGGCGAATAGGTTTAGTGTTTACCTATTGAACCACAAATTTTATTTGGTGAGAAAATTTTATAAGAAATGCATGAGCTATAATAACTTCTCCTTTTCGTTTACATATGGTTGAACTATCAAGATAAAACTCATTATCTGAACTCTTTCTAGCGAATTAATCTTACATTTAAAAAAACTATATCATTTAGAACTACCTCAAGAATCAGTTACTTATAATCTTTTTTGTGTAGGATGAACCATAAATTGCAGTAGGATAAAAAAAAATTAAAGTACCATTGCTTCGATTCACTTGAATTCACTGATATTTTGTAATTATAGTAGAAAGTAATTTTGAGTCTCTTTTTTATGCGAATAATGTAAAGCAACACTAATGTCCAGTTCTACTTACGATATCACTTAAGAAATTTCACTAAAAACACATAC